TTTCCCTCTGGTCTCAGGGTCTGGGATTGCTGAAGGCTGAACTTACTGGTAAAGATCAAGGTGAAAAAGTAATTGAAAATCATCATGTCCTTTGTCTCCAGGTCTTCTGCCCCCTTCAGCAGCAGGCCCACATTTTTCCTAGTCTTCCTTTAGCTGCTGATATACCTGTAGAAGCCTTTCTTGTCACCTTTTATGTCCCTCCTCAGATTGAACTTCTGGCGGTCTTTGGCTTCCAAAACCCTGTTACTGCATACTCAGACATTGTCTCTGAAATCCTTGTGGGTCGCCTGCCACTGCTTCCACCTCTTGTATGCTTATGCAGTAACAATTCATCTCTCCACCCCTCCCTTCTACTTCCCTGTGGCTTGGCAGACAGATAGCATGGCCACTGCTACAATTGCTCAGCCAAAGAAGTAAACAGTTTGTTTGGCTGCCTTATAAGGCACTTATCTTTAGGTGACTACCCCACACTGCAGCAGCAGAAGTTGCAGCTAGCAACTGAGTTTTGAGGTCTTGAGTAAAATGACTGCAGTTCCTATCAGTGACTAAGCACTGGATTTTGTCTTCACTAGCTCAAAGTCAGAACCTGAACTACTGTCTAAAGGATGCCTTTTTCCAATCTGACAGCCTGAATTCCAGATTTAAGCCCCAAACACATTTTCAGAACTTGGCAATAAACCTCCTTGGGAAAGTTGGGTATAATGGAGCAGTGAGACAGATTTAACTGTGGCAGAGATTTTGAAGGAAACTGGCATGCAGAGGACACGAAGCACGTGAATATTCCAAAGGCAATACTAATGCTGTTGTTGCTCATTCTCTTTTGATACATCTTTGTTAAACTTTGAATGGTCTGTGATTTTGCTGGCAGTGAAGTCTTGTTTTATTAGAAGAAGAGGAACATATCCTAAGTTGGCGCAGCTCGTGTTTTGGAGACTCTCAGATTTTTCCTCCATCAGCTTCCTTCAGAAACAGGAAGCTACACAACAAATTGTCTGAACAGCAGTTATGACCTTATCAATCTATTACTGTGCTTGTTGATTCTGGAGTTGTTACCAACAAGGTGATTATTGTGAGTATTTCTACAGTGCCATGCAAACCCTAACCCATTCGACTCCAAAGAAGCAACTGGAACAATAGACTGGTTAATACTTTCTTTCATATTAGTTTGGGAAAAGTTGTCATTTTAATACAGGCAAAGAGGCCCCAGATGCAAAATGGACCAATCAGATATAGGCAAGTCAGTGTAGAGAAAAGCATGAAATAATAATAAAGCAGGAAAGTCAGGGCACAGGTGACTTCATTTCCATGTCTGTACCCCACCTCACAAGTTGCCAGAGCACCATGGTCACCCTCCGTGGCAGTAAGGTAGAGAGGGAAGCAGTGACTGTCAGGTTGCCCCAACCACTCCAGGTTGGCTGGTTGCCAGAGTGCCTTCTGGGCCAGATTGCAGCTCCTGCTGCCACTTCAGCTGCTGCCATCTAGTGTCACCTTGTGGGAGGACAAACAGTAAAGGTTGTGCCTGTTTTCATTATGATGAGGTCAGAGAAGATGCTCCCCCAAGCCTTGAGACATAGGTTGTCTAGAAAGTGTGATTTCAGCCATGGGACAGGCTAGCTTCACACAGCTCTTCTATCTGTTTTATCTGTTAGCTCAAAGGCTGGAGATGTTATCCAGGAGCCTTGGGCTACAGACACTCTTTTTTCCTAAAGGGATTTGAACCCACATCCTCTGATTTCCCATGAAAGTGCCCTCAGGAATAGGAAAAGCACTTTCTGCTTCTAACCCATTTCTGCTGCTTGTCCTGCCATATGTAATCACATCTTTGCCACTTCTAGAGATGCCACCACAGTGACTTGGGTTGGTGTCTTGGTTCTGCGCTGTGCCAGTGATTTGGATCATGACCGAAGTGAATGCTTTTACAAGCTTCCTTAGGCAGGCAGGACTTCTGGTGTCCTCTTTCTCCTGCAGTCCTCCAGAACTGGGACAGGATCAATCTAGTTCTTGGAGTATTGATAGGGAAATTAATTTGCTCACTCTGGGTATCCAGTTACCAACAACATGTAGGAATGTCTTACAATGAAAGAGTTCTCTGAAACTATCAGGTGAGATTCTGTATATGCTCTAATTATCTTAAGAAACAGCCCACTCACTTGATAATAGCATTGTTTTTTTCCATTAGAATGAGAATATTTCTTTTTCCTGACCACAGTATCTTGACGGATGAAGAACACCCACTTACAGGGAAAATCTGTAGGGTTTTTGCTAATGGATACAGTGGAGGTTTAGGGCAGAGTCATGGCTCCTCAGGCATTATTTCTTTGACTGGAATTTTTTAGGAACAGGGATCCTGTGTGTGCAGTATATATATCTATATGTGTATTGTCTAGGACATTAACAGAACTATTCAAGCACAAATAAATATGGGAATGTTATGTTGAAAATCTCAGTTATTTCTAATTGATGAAAATACCCCGGTGTTTATACAAAGCTACACAGTGACTCACAATGAAATGAAGTCAGCAAAATACCAGACGTTTTTACATCCAAAACAGAGACAAGTGCCATATGTTCATAAAATACTTTTCTGCTTAGTAAATGTTTATGAAGAAAATGAATGGATAATTTCCAAAAAGAGAAACTTGTGTAATATTATTTTCAGATAACAGAAGTATTTTTCCTTTAAGATTTTTTTCTTTTCATTTATTTATTTTCATTGTAAATCAGATGACACATGAAGGTATGTACTATACGACTCACAGATACATCTTATTGTGCTTTGGTGTCTGACTACCAATACAGCAAAAAATATGGGAAAACATTTTCCCTGCAGACCAGAAACCCTTGACTTACTGTTTGATGGGTCCAGGATCTGGTGCCTGTGGTCAGACTGAACTGTACCTAGTAGATGTTAAGCCTGGTGGAACCTGATGTGGAAGACACTTCTCACCTCAAAGCTTGGTCTGGAGATGTATTGAGTTCAGTGGGAACCAAGCCCTCTAAGGAGATGGTAAGAGGTACTGTTTCTCCTTCAATTATGTGAGAATTGGGTAGAAGCAGGTTTAGTCCTGATACTAAATATTGTCTTACTGAGCCTTTCTGCACTAACTGGAATAAGTTTTTCTGTTTCGATTGCTTATGGATCTTTTACTAATGAGGATACTAAGCTGTTGATGGTTGTTGAATATATGAACCAGACGATGGGGCATTTGTTAGAGAAAAAGAGATACTATAGGTGGGTAGCAAGTGTTCGCTTTCTTTTACAATATAAGGACAAGGAATCGTTAGCTAGTAGGGGCAGTTTCAAAGCAAACAGAAGGAGATGGTTTCATCGAAAAACACAGTTAAGCTGTGGAACTCCTTGCTGAAAAATACCAGGGCTGTTAAGTGTTTACATGGGTTCAAACAGAATTGAGCATATTCATGGGAGAAAAAGATGTACCAAAAGCCATTAAATAGACAGATGTTTCCAGCCAAGGAAGTCCCAGCTGCAAGTTGCTGAGGTCTAGAGAGGATGAAGTCCTACTCCATGCTTGCCTTGTTCTTGTACTCTTCCCTCTGCATCAGTTGCTGGAACTAGACAGCAGGCTGTATTGACCTGTGGTGTGAATCAGTATATCTGTTCTTAGGTTACAAGCTTGAAGATGACAAAAAGCAGTGCCCACATTCAATCCTGAGCAGTCCTCAGTAGCCTGGAGTGGATTCCAGGTAGCAGGAGAGATGCAAAATGTAAAGACTGCAATACGACATGCAATATGAGTGCAATAGGACAGCCATTCTGGGAAATAAAACAATGGGAACAAACAACATTTTTATTGCAACTAACTGGGAGAAGAATTATTAATTTGACTGAGTTGTAGACCTTCAGGTTCTGCGATAATACATTGCCTATTCTTGTATGCAAAAAGAAAGCCACAGAAAAAACCATAGCCATCTGGGTTCATCCAGATTCATTGCTGGCTTTTAGAATAAAATTTAGCTGGTGCCTAGCTTCACAACCAGCTGCTGTAGCTAATCATATTATTAACATTTTTATTTGTTTTGATGGTACTTCAACCAGCCACTAAGCTTGTTCTTTTGCTTTGACTTGACTATCTTTTTTACATTTGCAACATGCCAATTTTCCTATGTCACTGTTCATCTGGGTGAATATAAAGCATCCTCAGTTATTTTCTAATATTTGAATGATTCCAGTTGGTTTTGCGTGTGAGGGTGAGCAGTGGGTTTAATACCCTTTCCTGTTACAGTGGAGAATTTGCTATCCTGCAGCCTGTACACAAAATCACATCTAATATTCAGAGCTCCTTCTTTAGCTGATAATGGGGTAAGAAGTGTGCCTTGTGGGTTGCCTTGTACTAATTGTCTGATAATTTACCATGGTCTCGGTGGCAGTTCTGGCAGCCACAATCCATGCTTTGTTTGCAAACAGGTTTTCCTTAATCAGATGACGAGGTATACAATCTACGTTTAGCTTTGCTTTGCAAACTTGAGGGACCATGTCTGCAATCAGTAATATTTCAGGTTTTTATTGCTTTTGTGAATTTGTATGCTGAAAGTTAGTTTTCATGTTTATGAGACACAGGCAAAGACAATTTTGTTAGCTAGACCCTATTAGCCCCTTTTGTTAGCTAGAGCTAATGATAACCCATTCACAGCCGGCTGACCTTCTATCTATCAATCCAATCTTTTGATTCCTTGATATGAAAACAGCATTCAACAAGAGAGCTCCGGCATTTGCATTTCCAGGTCTCAAACTTTAAATACTGATCCCCAGTCTTTACTGGTCTAGAGCTATATCTGTTCTGGAGTAGTCACAGAATCACAGAATGGCAGGGTTGGAAGGGACCTCGGGAGATCCAGTCCAACCCCCCTGCTAAAGCAAGGTCATCCAGAGCAGGTTGCACAGGACACCGTCCAGGCGGGCTTTGAATATCTCCAGAAAAGGAGACTCCACAACTCCCCTGGGCAGCCTGTTCCAGTGCTCTGTCACACTCATAGTCTACGAGACTGTGTTGGTAATTCAAACCCAGAGATTCTTTAACTCTTGCAGTTTTGCGAAGTTGTTGTGCATCCCATTGCCACTGGGTTGCTGGCAGGACAGCCCTAGCAGGTTGCTGGTCCTTGCTGCTGGATTAGGCTCTCTGTTCCAAGGACTGCTTCAGCCTTTTGTTGTCTGTTGATCACAGTCCTCTTTGCAATCAGCCTGTTCCCTTGTTGAGTGTACACTGCAGGGAACAAGGGCTATTCCGTCTTCTGGCAATTTTCTTTTTGGCCAGTCTTTTCTAAAGTATTTACATAAATATTTAATTCATGTATTCCCACAATGCAGAATAACTCACTATTGCAAGCTTTGAACTTCACCTGTTTAACTTGTGGGTTTTCTTGTGATGCTAATGAATGGTTTCTGACATCCTTTTAGTGTATGCATCTTTTTAAAGCTTGATTTTAATAGACTTTTTTTATTGCAGTTTTTACCAGTTTTGCTGGTAATTTTGCTGTTATCCTTTTGTATCCATATCATACTTACTCACCTAGGACTGTATGCATGTAGTGAGCTATAATCCTTTGCTGTTCTTGTAGATTGTTCTGAATGCCAAGCGTTATCTTCATTTCCCATACTCGCCACCATGAGCAATTCCACATGCAGCTTTTTTGTGGGCTCAGGGAGAGCAGGAACTGCTGTTTCAGCATGTCACAGCACATAAACTACTCTTCAGTAGGTGTTGCTGCACAGGCTCTTACCCTGTGGAATACGAAAAGTAATCCAAGAGTGTTTACGTAGCCAAAGGCAGCCTTTGCGTGCCCCATAGCACAGCTGCCATGGTATCACTTGGCCAATGGTGGGCTGGGTACACTCCCTTCCAGACCCGCCTGAAAAAGTAAGAACTCTAAACCAATTTCTTAAGCTGTCTACAGACTCGTTTTGTCTCCTGCCCGGCCAGGATAACAAGCACCACCTCACTTCAAAGAAGGCTCCTTATCTAGGCTTCATTTCAAGCACAGGGGAAATAGGACAAGCCAGGCTGAGGAATAAAAAGCCTGTGCCCTACCTTGGATCGTGCAGCAGTAACCACCATCTATATTTAACATGGGAGAAAGAGCTTTTCTATCCCAAGATGACCCCATGGTACCCACAGTAAGCACATACAGCTCCTTCTACTCCGTCTGGACCTCAATTAAGTGTAATGGTGAGGACCAAGTCCAGCGCATTACAAAACAGGGTCAATGGGTCTACCAGGTCCCTAAAGGCTCCATTACAGGGCTCATTCCTTACATTTGTGATTCCTTGCTATGCATTAAGCTCAGCAGTCTTGTGATAAAAGCAAAGGAATAACAATGGCATGGAGAAAAAAGGCTGTCTTCACAAGGGTTCTGCAAACCCTGTTTGAATTCACTGTGCGCTACCTGAATAGAAAGGCCACGTGTAACTAAAGGGAATATGAGAAAGGAAAATAGTCCCCTGACTTGTTTTCAACTTGGTATCTGCCTTCCTGCCTTTGGTATGAGAATATGTGGTGCTGTGGTGTTGGGAAATAAACAGATCTAGCTGGAAGCAACAGATCTGCCTCTTTAGTCTCATAGCACAGCAACACTTGAATAAACACGAAATGTCCCTGAGAAGAGCCCTCTCGAAGCTACTGCCAAGTGACAGACGGATGAGTTGAAAGGTTGCGGCGAGGGAGAGGAACAGAAGGGCATGTTCATTAATGCAGAATACAAGGAGAGAGCAGGGAGAACCAGTCCTTGAGGAGGCAGAAGGAAGACTTGATACTTTCGCAGCAACTGAGTACTGCCACTGGGAAATATGGTAGTATGGTAACAGGATGCTTTTCTGTATTTTTTTTCCTAGTTAGAGAAATTTCCCTGGAGCTTGGGAGAGGAGGGAATAGTCGGAACTTTGGCAGGTGTCTGTAAGCCCATATAATGCTTTCACTGTATGTTGTATTGAGAAGAGGGGAATTTTAAAAGCCTACTACATTACCCCATCTTTTCTGCATGTCTCGTGCTTGCTGTAGGGATGAGGTAGGAATCACCTCACCCAAGTATGTCACCGGAACTCGTACACCATCAGGTCTTTTTTCTGTGGCAATTGCTGCTATTTCCCATTATTAGTTAGAAAAGTAATTTTAAGTCCTAGTCCCACACTAGAAGGAAACTAGAGGGAGGGTATGCAAAGTAACTGAAAGTAAGTCTCTTATTAATTTCTGAGAGAGTTAGGGTAAGGCCAGATCCTGCGTTGCAGGTAGCATTCCTGGATGGCAGTCAGTGAGAAATCAGCCTTGGAGATTTTATCTAAGGCGGCAGTATAGCAACAAGTGAAAGAGCTTCTGAGGCAAGAGCTTGTGAAAGAGAAAGATGCTTCTTCTCACTTGCACCGCTAATTTTGTATCCAGCTAACTAGCTAAACTTGTTCAGTTCTCGCATTCTGTGAGTACCATATTGCAGCTCTTTGCCTTGAAAAATGTCCTTATGCTGCAGGTCCAAGATTTGCACAGCAGTTATATGCTTGGCTAAATGAAGGTACTGTAATCCTCTCTGAGTATTAGATATCTTGGACTGCTCCAGGTCATGGAAAGCCCATTATTTTAAATGTAAGCAAACCCAGATGGCCTGGATGTGTCAGCCCAGCCAGCATGGGCTCTGAAACTACTTGCTCTCTTTCTAAGGTAGGTACTACACATCTCCTCTTCCTTCAACATGTGCCTCCTATCACTAGCCCCATTTTCTGATCTGCTTCATCCAAAGGCTTCTGAAGGAGTCATCAGGAGGCAACCATGTTCCTGTTCCCATGCAGTCTTCTCAGGGGGGAATATCCACCCACTTGATGCTTTGGAGGCTTCTTCATGTTCCAAATTTTTCCTGTGTTTTAAATAGGCCAAAAAGGACCTCATCATAAGTTAATGGCAGTGTTCCCCGTTGACTCTTACAGCACACACCCACCCTGTCTGGAGCATGAAAGCAGAGGAGGCAGAAGCTAGCACAGGACCTCCAGGGTCTGGAATTGACTTTAGCTCTGTTCTACACTAATTTGTAAGACTCTGTGAACTTGTGACAAAACTCTGATTTTTTGCTTCTGGAGGTTAAACACTTGATACCTCTGAAGATACTGAATGATCAATACATACAAATTTCTGACATTTGCTTGTCCTTAACTTTTTTTCCCCAAACATAAATCCACTGTATTACTATATGTAGATATTTTACTGGAATGTGGAAGGTGATTCTTGTTGTTGAGATTAGCTGGGGGAAAAGGAAGGAAATTTTTCTCAAAGAGAAGAGGGTGAAAAAGGCTCTCTACTTTTTCAGTAGTTCTTGACCAAATCCAGAAAGTTTCCCTTAATCCAAAAGGTGTTCATGATTTCACAGTAGTTTCCTTCTGCATGGCTGAAGGTGATTTTCTAAGACACAACATTTAATGAATAAAGTGGCTCATTCAGAAAGAAGATGGACGTGATCTGCAAGCACTAAAGAATCTCAATGGACATCAAGAGATTCTACTGACCTTGTGGGGACAGTTTGGGAATAGTTTACCTCTACAGTATAAACTTGCCCATACACCATGATGCTACTTAACATCAGGAAGGATTCACGGCTACAAAATGTTTAGGGAGCTGCACTGAGTTACATACAGAACAGAAACCTCAATACAAGACGTCCTAGGCTAGAAGTCTTGCACAACTGACACGCAAGTGCAAGGGTGGGTTATGAGGCAAGTATTGTTGCTAATAGGAAAACATGGTGTGTTGCAATAGCAGGAACAGGTGCTTCCAAACAAATTTCATCTCCTATCAAAAAGTAATTTGTTATGATGCAAATAGATGGTAGATCTCAGACAACATTAATATAGAACTAAAGACATATGGCCTTAAAAGTAAAATACAGCTGCATGTGATCAGGAATTAGACACAGTTCCCCATGCAAGTGGATTAAATCCCACAGCATCAGCATGGAGCTGAGGCACAACACTGAGTTGAGAGAGAATTCTGGAGGAGTGGTATGAAATCCTGCAAACTTCCAGGTCTCTGTTTATGAATAAAAGATGAAAAATTGCTCACCAAGCAAAGATAGCCATTACGTTAAAAATTTTATCAGCAATTTGATTGCTTGCAATCATGGGGAGCACATGGAGCTAGAAGATATTATATTATTCTACACATCTGGGACAGTCTACTAAGATATAGAACACCTAAAATAAACAGTTCAGGGTTTAAGAGAATGCTGAGAAAATTTACCTTTTGAGAAGAGTAATACTTGGCCTAGAAAACTTGAAAATGTCCAAAAAAAGATGAAACATTTCAACAGCATGTTCCCTAAAATATTTGTTTAAAGCTCATTTTAATTTTAAACCCTTCTATCCTAGCAAAGATTTAGTTACATATCTGGAATTAGACAATTAGACACTTAGTTAAGAAGTATGTAGCTCCTTCTAGCTTTTGGAATCATCCTCTGTACCCGTCCTGTCCTGTGGCATTTTCCATCCAGATGTGGGTAAAGGGGCTTGGAATTCTGAACTTGCCACTGAACATAGCAAGATAAAACCAGGCAAATGCAAAATTCTCTAAATGCCCAACCTATATGTTCATCTTGTGCCAGAACTTCCTCTGTGAAATGCTTCCACAGAAATGCCAGGAGCTTTATCTCCTTCGAGGATGACTGGGAATTAAGGGGCCTCATCTGACCCCAAACCCTGGTTCTGTGGGAGACGCAAAGCTGTCTGGCTGAATTAAACTCCTTCACTCGTAGTTGGAGAGCTGACTGTCCTTTCGCACTCAGACTGAGATCAAAATATCAAATACTTACCTGATCCTTCTGCATCACCTTGTTCAATACTTGAGTTCTAGGAGCAGACTGCATCAAAAACCTTGGAGTCCAAGGTGAATCAAACTCAAAAATTACTTGATTTTGTGCCCTTTGATTCCCCTGGGATGGGTTGTGCTGGCAGGGTTGTTAACTCCTGGTTCAAGACTGTTGGCTGTAGAAGTATCCTTCAGATGGAGGCTGGATTTTCTTGAAT